TATCTAGACTCTTGAGCGAAATCAAATTCAGTGGATCTTATATTTGTCCTTTATTTTCACGTCGCAATCAAACCTAACAGGTCATACTCATTATATGTTGCACGGGTTACATAACAAAATCTTAATAAGCGTAGTCTTAATTTTTAAAAAATTAACCAAAATTGAAAATATCGTTATATGTCCAAAGAATGATCAATGATTAATTATAGGGTAATATTACTCTCATGTAACATGAGAGTAGTTCTTTCATGTTACAGAGAGAATTCAAGTAAGGCCTGTATTTAAAAGCAAAAAAGAAGAAAAAGAAAAAAAGAAGGGGCACGATTTTCGAAGTGAGAGAAAATGAGATAACTACCTCATGTAAAATGAGAGTAGTATTTTCCTTAATTATATGACTACTTGATAAACCATAAATCTCAACTTTGATTAAATTTTTTATGGATTCGCTTTTTCTGTCGTTATTGCATATAAGTTATTTGCTATAAGTTTAATACGACGTTACTTTGGAGCAGAAATAGGCGAGTTCAGGGGAGCTGGTGGTGGAGGGCTATTATAAATGGGCGAAGTTAGACCACTATATCAAATGAGTCTGATATTATGTCTTAATCCAAAATTTTAAGGCAATAGGTTTATGGGTCTTCTTACTTATATACACTTCACTTAATTCATTACCAACCGTTGTGAGACTTATGCTCCTCCTAAATTGAGTATCTCAGGGTCAAAATACTCAATCTGCCTTCTAGCCAAACACCTGGCTAGCCTGAGCCCAGTGGCGTAGCCACACATACGCCAGCAGGTGCCAAGGCACCTGCTCGTTTTAATTTTTTTTACTTATTATATATATTACATAATTAATTATAATCAATCAAGGTTAAAATTATAATTTGCACCACCTAAATATAAAATCAAGTGTTTATACAAAGTAACAACAAATTATCTAAATGTAAACAAATAATAAAAAATGTGTGTGTTTCACCTTCTTTTATTTTTTATCTTGTATATTTATTTTTATTCCTATTATTTTTAAACAGAAAGACTTCTAAACTTAATCACAAAAATAATTAGTTGACCCATTTGAAAATTTGGGCTCAACTAAACCAAATAAACCCCTTAAAAGTAGGGAAAAGGGTTTGTCCTTTGAAAGGACAGGGCCTTATTTCCTTTTAGTTTTTGACACTATTATTACTGGTAAGACATAGTTATAATATGAAATTTTTTTTTTCTCAGTCACTTCAGCTGACGTGTAAAGAGAAAAAAAATAACTTTTCATGAGAATAGCATTTTATGTTATAACTATGTCTCACCGGTAAGACATAGTGTTAAAACCTAAAAGGATACAATTTGTGTCCTTTAAAAGGATAAACACTTAACCCTTGAAAGTAACAATCGTGAAATCAAATGAATAACAGATCTATAGTTATGGAATGTGAAGGTCCATTAAACTATTGTGTTTTGGGTTATTGAAAACACAAAGAATAGTCAAAAACCTAATTTCCAAATGTGAGAACTTTCCTTCGTGCTTGAAAATAAGGGCAATATTCTCTAACAAGAGATATTGAAAATTTAAGGAATAAAGATAATGAAAGAGGAGACAAAGGACAATGCTTATTATACATATAATTATTATATTTGTGTGTTTTCATATCCTTAGGACAATGTTTGGTTCATTATTTATTATGTTGTGGGAGGAAAATGAAATTCTTATGTTTGAAATGTTTACCGAAAATGTTAGTGGATTTTTATATATTTGATTTGATAAATAATCAATGATAATTGTTCATTTGAATTTTCAATGTTATATGATATTTTTTAGGACATAATTTAGATATTTATGCTAGAATTCATAGTAAATTTTTTTCCTGATAAATTTATGTAATTATGATAAATATTTTAATAATTTAATATGTCAAATTTTCTGGCACTACCTAAATTTTTGGGCTGGTTCTGCCACTGCCTAAGCCCAACCCGGCTCTGATACCATTGTCAGGTGGGTCTAGAGGAAGCTTATAACAGGAGATCACCACCAATGGACTAAGCTGCTCCAATCGTAGCAAGTGAGTTCGACACCACATCTCAACCCAAAACTTTGGGGTGTTTGGTAGGTGAATTTTTTTGAGAATGCTAGGAAAGTGGTAGATAGGATTCACAAATGACCATAGTTGGTATGGAGTAGGAAAAATTTGCCTACGAATTTTTTTTTTATGGAGAAATTTTTGTAGTGTAAAAATGAAGAAAAATGCCCACTTGGGAATACCACCTTAATGGTGGTATTTTGATTTCTCCACCAAACCCAAACTTGTAGCAATTTTACACCAAAATTTTTCTAGTAATTTTACACCTTTAAGGCATTGGGTTCATGGGTCCATATTGGTTGGACTCATCACACTTGAATAAGTCAACAATCTCCCCATCAAGTGTGAAATCCAACATTGGCATGCTCCTCCTCAATCGAGTATCCACCCCAAGTACTTAACCCATTTCCTAGCCAAACACCTGGCTAGCCCGAGCCCAATCCGGCTCTGATACCATTGTCAGGCGGGTCCAGAGGAAGCTTATGATGGGAGACCACCACCGATGGGCTAAGCTACTCCAACCGTACCAAGTGGGTCTGACACTATATCTCAATCCAAAACCAAAGCATTGGATTCATGGGTCCATATTGGTTGGACTCATCATACTTGAATAAGTCAACAATCTCCCCCTTAAATGTAAAATCTAATATTGGCATGCTTCCCCTCAACCTAGTATCCAGGCCCAAATACTCAACTCACCTCCTTGCCAAACACCTGGCTAACTTGAGCCCAACTTGACTCTGATACTGAGTTAGACGGGTCCAGGAGAAGCCCGTGGTGGGGGACCACCACTAATGGATTAAGTGGATTAAATATACCAAGTGAGACCAACACCATATCTCTACCAAAAACTTTAAGGCATTAGGTTCATGGTTCATCAGCTTATATCTACTTTACTTAATCTATTACCAATTAATATAAGATTCATCACACTTAAATATCTTGACACCTTAAACCTTGAAGAACCCGACACAACAGTGTCTCATAGTAATATTTTAGTCAAAGACAAAACGAAAAAGAAAAAGAATACATGTTCAAATAAAAGAGAGAGAGAAATAGGTGTTCATAATAATATCATGCATCTGATATTATGTAAAAGGATGCAAACACGAATGTTAAATTGGCAAAATAATAATTATTTTACTTGGAACTCTAACATGGCCAACCTGAGCTAGTGATAGAATTATTTCTTTGTGATTCAAAAATTATAGGTTCGAATTCAAAAAATAATTATTTCATAATTATATAAAACTAAAGCTGCATACAAGAATTATTCTCACCCCACACACTCGTTATAATGCTTTGTAAATTCCGACTTGGGAGTTAATCCCTCATATACCTAGAAAGTTTCCTGGAAGGGAAGCAAATCCTTGCGTTGTGGATGTTGTAGACATGAGAGATAGTATATATATTAGAATAAGTGAAGATCTATTATAGCTGTTAGCTCAATCTAATTTTGGAGTTCTAAACCGTAGGAGCAGGGTCCTTTGAAGGATACCCCTTATTCGTTTCATGATAAGTAGGGTGCGCATTCACAGTGAAAACTGAAAAACACATACGAATTATGAAACAAGAATTAATTGCACAGTGGATCCCACAAAAGCTAGTAGAAAGTTGATTGCATGCTTACGATTATATATACATCAAAAAAATTAACTGTAATGTGACTTTTACATAGAATGATAAACATGAAGAAAACATTTCCAAATATTAAGTTTCCAATACTACTTGAAACTAGTTAACTGATTGAATTTCCTATAAATCCAACAAGAACTTTAAATGAGTAGACCAAAATTATCAATATTAAATTAAGTATGCATATTTTTTTTATAATTTTTTAAGATTCTTCTTAGATTAATTATGTATAATTTTTTTTTTAAATTTGCCTGAATTTAAAATATATATGTAATGCATAAAATACTAGTATGCTTTAATCTCGTCTAAAAAGAATGCATTGTTATTAAATATCAAAATACAATGTAATTTTTCACAATGTAATTATGAGACAAAAAGTACAAAATATAAAAGTACATGACTTTTTCTCATAACTTAAGTCTAAATATCAAAATATAAAACGTGAAATTGGCCAGTAGATGACCCTGACTTTTCTTTTCCTTCTTCATTCTTCATTTTCCACTTTGTTGTGCTCTTGTTAAAAAGACAGAGAAAGAGGATAAAAGCTGTCCCCACAGTTTTTCAAAGTTAAAAATATCTTATACTAACCAAATGATGGTAGCTTACTTGGCTCATAAAAATTGAGTAGACGAGAATAAGAGTATATGTTCGATCATCTTCATTATTATATATAAAAGAGGTTTAAAGTCTTAATTCTGAACTTGCTCCAAACAAAATTGCTTTCAATGAAGAATAACTATAGTTTATACCCAAAAAAAAAAAGAAGTATTATTCTTTTACAAAAAGAAGTATTATTCTTTTACAAGTAGAGAAAGGCCGTACCAAATGGTGGTAGTTCAGTTGACGCATGAGAGCTAAGCAGGTAAGGATGAGAGCATGCGTTCGAATCTTTTCAGTATCATCTTTGGAAGGTATTTAAAGCTTTAATTTTGAACCCGCTCTGAATCGAATTAGTTGCGAACCAATAAACCAATTGAAATATTTAAAAAAAATAAAAAAGAGAAAGAGAGAGAGAGAGAGAGAGAGTTAGAGTTGCTAGCCATATCAATAAATAAATAAACAAACATCAGAGCAACTCCAGAAGGATGAAGAATTGGTATATCCTGTGGTGTGGCTAAGCATTGTAGTAAAGTGTAGCTCACATTGAAAAAAACAAAACAAAACAAAAGAGAGTGAGTTGGGACACAAAGGGGTGTTTGTTTGGGAGAAAGATAGATACTATAAAAAGAGAGGGTTGAAAGAAAAAAAAAGGTATATAGTGAGAGAGAAAGAGAAAGAGGAAGAGAGAAAGAGATGGTGGGCTCAGGAGTATCATCAGATAGGAGCAAAGAAGCTGTTGGGATGATGGCCCTTCATGAGGCCCTCAGAACCGTTTGTCTCAACACAGACTGGACTTACTCTGTCTTCTGGACTATTCGTCCTCGCCCGTATGCTTCTCTCTCTCTCTCTCTCCCTCTGCAAGTTTATCTCTTTTTTCAATGTGTGTCTTCAAGTTTATCTCTTTTATCAATTTCCTCAACTGGGTCTTGTCCATTTTCTTTTTGCAGAAGAGTCAGAGGTGGTAATGGCTGCAAGGTTGGGGATGATAGCGGTAGCTTGTAAGCAGGGTTCCTCTTTGTGTGTGTGTGTGTAAATGTTCTTTTTTGTGCTCATGTTCATATTCATTGAAGTGAAAAATTTGATATCTTTAGCAATTTTATGTTTGTGGGTATATATTTATATAGTAAATTTCATGAGTTGACGTGTTTGATTCTGTACAAGGATGTTGATGTGGGAAGATGGGTTTTGCCGAGGAAGGGGTTTAGGTTGTCTTGAAGATATTGATGGAGAGGATCCTGTGAGAAAAGCCTTCAGCAAAATGTCCATTCAGTTGTATAATTATGGAGAAGGGTGGGTACTGGGTAGGTGTTTGTTATGTTGTGGTTCTTCTCTCTCTCTTTATAAATATAACTGAATCTTGAATATTCAATATTCAATACCATGTGGAGGGAGTTACTTAAGCGCAAGCATAACTATCCTATGCACTGTGCTCTGATTGGGTGGATTTTATTTTTGGAACAGGTTGATGGGGAAAGTTGCATCTGATAAGTGCCACAAGTGGGTCTTTAAAGAGCCCACTGAATGTGAAACCAATATCTCCAACTACTGGCAGAGCTCCTTTGATGCTGTATGCATTTAGACTCAACATTCACATTTCAACCACTATTAAATTTTGCTTTTTTATTGGTTATTTGTAGCTATTTGATGATTGATTGACTCAACCTCCTCTTTTAATGCTATAATTGCAGCTTCCTCCTGAATGGACCGATCAGTTTGAGTCAGGCATTCAGGTCAGAACAGAATCATTGTTAGCTTTGCTATTATTGGTCTTTAGAAAGAATTTTTATTATTTTTTAAAGATTTTTCAACTCATTTTATTTGTATTTGTTTCATGACTAGACCATAGCTGTAATTCAAGCTGGGCATGGCCTTCTGCAGCTTGGTTCTTGCAAGATTGTGAGTAAATTTGGATAACAGTTTTTTTATCTGTAATTTTGATTTTTAATCTCACTACTACTATGCAATTTATATCTGCTTGACTATTCATTGTGTAGAAGAATCTTGCACATAAAAAAAAAATATCAAATGTTTGATATTTTTGCTACTATTATCAGATTCCTGAAGACCTCCATTTTGTGCTAAGAATGAGACACACTTTTGAATCTCTAGGCTACCAATCTGGTTTCTACCTCTCTCAACTCTTCTCTTCAACAAGGAACACTTCCTCTTCAACTTCTCTTCCTTCAAAACCATCCACCATTCCAATTAGGCCACCTCCTCCACTCTTCAACTGGGGTCAGAGGCCACTTACTTCTGCTAGTTCCATGCTATCCTCACCCACTTTTCAACAACATGCAGCTAGGCTTGGGTTTTCACACACCAAAGATGAGACACACATGTTTCTCATGCCTCATGCATCATCTGAAACTGCAAGAATTGAAGACATGATGGGGGAGCATGAAAATGATATAAAATGGCCAAATGGATTGTCTTTCTGCAATGCTCTCACTGGAAGAACCGATGATGCTAAGCTTTTGTTCAATCCTGAGAGCTTGGGAAGCAAACCAGGTGATCAGAATCACCACCACCACCCACACTCTCTTAACCAAAATCACAATTCAGATGCATCAAACTTGCAAAATGCTAGTGGACCCAACCCAAATGAGTTTTTGAGCTTGGATTCTCACCCAGAAGGTGCAAGGAAAATGGACAAGTTTAAGAGGAGCTTCACTCTGCCTACAAGGGTGGCTTCATCATCTTCATCCACTTCAATGGATCACCATCATCAACAACAAGGTGTGGAGTACAGGAATTCAGAAGGGGGTATGTACCCGGATGTCATGGAAACCTTTTTAGAGTGAATTTGGGAGAGGGGGAAAAAGAAAAGGGTGAGTTTTAGTAGGGAAAAATGGAAGATGAGAATTTGTATCTAGGGAAAGTTATTTGTGTTCCTTTTTTCATGTGTTTGCTTTTCACTTTGTATCTTGTGTTTCTTCTGTCTTCCACTTAACGAGACTTGATTAATGACATTTATTTCTTTCTTTTAAGTTCAATTAGACAGTTTTCATGATGTCTTGAATTTTTAAATTTTAGATGTTGGTCATCATTGTTTGTTTGAATAAAAATTGTGAAAATTCTAAGACACTAATCATTTAGCCCATTTATTATTTTTTTTAATAAATATGTTTAGCCATTGTTATTTTAAAATTTCCAATTTTTATTCAACAAAATTACACGATAACCCAGGTTGCTAATATAACATTGGATAGTGTTCAGTGAGAATGATTATATATCATGTCTATATAAGAATCTTTTTACGGACACATGGTGACTGCAGCCAAGATATGATTACAATTTTTAAATTTAATATTAGCAACTAAACTAACCATTCAATCCAATTTACTGCTTCCTTTGCTTTAAACAATAATAATATATCATAACAGCTCAAGTTGTGAAACAGCTCTCTCTCAGAACTATTACTCTAGCTCGTCCTTGCACTGCTACTACTGGTGTGTGCGCCGTGGCTTTGCAATCACATACTCACCGTTAAGTTTGAATTAATGCATGGTGGTGTTGTACTGATTATGTTAGCTAGCTAGTGTGACGTGTCAGTGTCACATGATGTGAAAACAACCTGTATATTGAAATGGGGTTTGTTTTACTCATGTTGTATGAAAAATATTACTCCTTTCCTACGTACACAAAATAGAGAGGAGAGAGAAAAGAGTGATGAGAGAAAATAAAAAAAATGAGACCCATGTGCTTTTATGTGTCTGTAGGAAAGTGGTATTGTGTTCCTATAACATGATACTTGTTTTTCTCTATTGAAATAGGGGAAAAGAATTCGGAACAGTGGCCAAAGTGCCATTGTTGGAAAAAAAAAAACACCAAAATGCCACGTCAACGTAAATTTTGTCAAAATGTCACGCGGCATATTTCGCTACACTGTGTAGCGAAATATGTGTGCAAATAATTCGCTACACGGTGTAGCGAAATATGTCACGTCAGAACCAAAAATGCCACGTGTCAAACAGGGAGAATTTCGTTACACAATGTAGCGAAATTCTCCCTGTTTGACACGTGGCATTTTTGGTTCTGAGCATTCTGACGAGGCATATTTCGCTACACCGTGTAGCGAATTATTTGCACACATCGTTCGCTACACAGTGTAGCAAAATATGTCGCGTGACATTTTGGCAAAATTTACTGTTGGCATGACATTTTGGTGTTTTTTTTTCCAACAGTGGCACTTTAGCCACTGTTCCAAAGAATTCTCATGTTATAGAAGAATTCTTTCTTCTACTAGTGATACATCGAAATATGTGCAATAACTTTTTTTATTTTTATTTTTTAATGGAAGGGGGAACTCATCACATTTTGTGTCTATAGTAGGAGAAAAGATTCTCCTACAACAAGAGAAAAGAGGGACCCATTGAAATATCTTAAATCATATTGGTTGTAAAATTTGGGATTCTAATTTATTTTTTCAAAGACAAAAGGAATAGAAGTTTGCTACACACAAATTTTCAATGAAATGATGTAGAGGTTTCCTACATAAATTATGGTCCTGAGCTGTATATACACACATTTATAAAAACTTAAGCAATTTGTCTTTGGATGTAAAAGTCTATTTAATCATCATGTCTCTTGACTCCAAGATACATTTAAAAGCCTTCAAGTTATTGATTATTTGGTTCAATTAGTCTTTGTTTATCCCAAGTACAATGAATCACACATTAATCTTAGTCAACTTGCTTTTTATTTTTATTGTAAAGGACAGAGTCCCAAATAATACCCATCACTATCACTGTAAATAGACAAAGCAAAAAATAATAAAATAGAGAGAGAAGGAAAGTAAAAAGAATAGGAGCCAAGCAGGCTGCAAAAAGCATATTAGTTTTAGTGTAGTATATGTAGTGCAATAGTGCAGTCTTCTCTCGTGAGACAAAGGAATGGTTGGATCTGAGATAAGTGTGGCTCTTTTAATGTATAATTTAGGAAACAATGTGAAGGGGACAAATAGCAACTTAACAAAAATTCCTAGTCTCTTTTTGGGTTTCTGTGGCAGAACCCTTGGGTCCAACTAACTAATTGTGCCTTTGGGACCATTCACCAGCTAGATTCAGTCTTATAATTTTTTTAGTCCAACCCAAGCAAATTATTTGTCAATCTTCCTTAGAAAGCACACCTGTGACACCAATACAAAGTGGCAGCTCCGATCCATGAATTTGAAGATATTTTTGCTCAAAGTTTGTTTATAAACTCAATAAACTGTTTTGAGTACCTAAAAGAACTTTTTTTAATAGATTTTATATAATCCTGATAGGAATTAATTATGTTACGGCCCAATTTATCGGCCCCCATATCTTGATAGCCGACTACAGACAATAGGGAAGAGATTTAAGGAAATAATCTTGCCTGATAAGATACCAATTTTATCTAGTGGAGGGCTCCTAATATTTTTAAGAGGTTCAAAATTCCACTCCCATTAGGTAATCATCTATAAATAGAAGCTTAAGCCAATCAGACACATACTTTATGCTCCATCTCTTAGTTATCATCGTGCACACAGTTCCACTCTCTAGCTACATTGTTTATCATAGTGCAAGTAATTTATAACCCTCTATGATATCTCCCTCATAGATATTTAGGAACGTATTGATCCTACATAGACTCATCGATATCGGATTGGACACCCTTGATCTGCTTGGATCGAACAAATTACAAATAACATGTAATATATATATATATATATATATATATATATATATATATATATATATATATAAGAAGGCGGAAGGTATTGAATCCAAGTTGTGATACAAGGGGATGATGAACAAGAGTAAAATTGGAGTTAAGATTATGATTGACAAAAGTTTCAGAGACATGTTTGTTGGCGACAAAAGAAAAGGCAACAAGATTATTTCGACTAAGCTTATAATGGATGATTTAACTTTGAGTATCCTCAATGTGTATGGCCCCTAAGATGCATTGGAATCAATTGATAAGAAACAATTTTGGAAAGATTTGAAGAAGATATTAAGGGAGATACCACACGAGGAAAATATTTTCATAGGAGGGAGATCTAAATGGATATGTTGGTGAAAGTAGTGGAGGTTTTGACAAAGTTGTTCATGGAGGATACTGTATATGATTAGAAATGAGGCTCGAGAAAATATTTTGATGTGGCACTAGTTTATGATTTGACCCAGCAAACAACTTTTTTCGAAAAATGGAGTTACATTTAATCACTTATCACAGCAGCCAAAATTATAGTCAGGTTGATTTCTTTCTTGTTGGAAGAGAAGATTGGACCTCTTGTGTAGATTGTAAAGTCTACCTTAAAGAATGTGTAGCTACACAATATAAGTTGGTTGATCTAGCTGTTAAGTTAAAACAAATTACATAAAATGGGGATGAAAGCTTAAAATCTAAGAATAAGATGGTGGAAGCTAAAAGAGGAAAAACAAATAGAGTAAAAGGAAAGAATGCTTCATGAAGGACAATGATAGTTAGATGGATAAGAAAATGAAACGCGAAAGGGGATAACTCTGTGTTTTCAAAAATTGGAAGGGATGTTAGAAGAAAACAAAAGGAATGTATTTCAAACAAAAGAAACTTGGTGGTGGAATGAAGAGGTGCATAGGGGAATTAGACATAAAATATTACATCCCAAATTTCTAACAATTTTTAAAATATCCTTATAATAAAGAAATTGTCAAAATTCACATTTAATTATTTATTAAGATCTTATAAATATTGCGGAAACTAATGTAAAACTAATTTCTGAAAATGTTACCGCAGCACCTGTACAGAGACAAGTGCAAAGCTAACTTTATTACATTAATAAATATCAAAATAAAACCAGAGACTATGTTTTATACAAAAAACTTAGGACTAGCTAGAAATTCTGAGTTGTTATCCTCACTGCCCACTGCTAGCCCCATTCTTTGTAACCATTTCACTGAAAATCTACTCCCCTGAAGAATCATTGTAGCACACAAACACAAACATAAACAGTCAGCAAACACTGATCAAAATACAATTAATATAACTCAAAAATTCACATAATAATCAAATCAAATCAATTCCATTTTTTTAATCATATATGTCTTTATTAAGTTCATTTAGTGGAAAGAGAACCATGGTAGACTCAGGAATCCTTGTTGCAAGCCACATATAATCAAAATTGACCATCATTAACACATCAATTCTAGTGTGCACACCTCTTTCCAAAGTTGCTACTAGTACCCTGGGAGTCCCTGTTGCCAAATATCACTTTGGCAAGAACGAATAACATCATTGTCACATCAAATAATATCAATGACATAAAACCCGAAGGTTGTGTTCATTACATTCAGAGGTACTATCTCAAAAGCTATCTTCTCACCATTATTTTATTATAATCACACACAATCAGGAACATTCAATCTTGTCACAATTACCATATTTGAAAAATTTCTTCTTTAATATATTTTTTATATCATTTGCTCAAAGGCATCATAATTTTCCAATTTATTCAAGAGTATTATAATTCTAATATTCAATATCTAGTAAGGCCTAAGTCCAATCATCATATTATAGTTCAAATATCTATTAGAGTAAAGCCCAAATGCAATCATATTGATTATTATAGTTATTCAAGGATATCATAATTTCAAATAATCCAATCATATCAATTATTCATTATTTCTAATTATTATCATTAAAGGGTTATACCTAAAATAATTATATAATTTATCCTGTTAATTTTTAGAGGTCAAAATAATTTAATTTAAATACCCTAAGGGTTACTTATAACATATTTAAAATGAAATCATCCTAAAATTCCCTAAGAATTATGATTACTTGCCTCCGTGTTTGATGACTTATAGGAGGAAAAGCGATTAGAGAAGAGAAGCTTTGTTGGTAGTCAAAGAAAATAATAACAAAATAGAAATTTGAAATAAGAAGAAAGAGCAGAAGATGAGAAGAGGAGAAGAGAAATGGAGAAGTGTTAAGGATTGTAAGTGATTTGATTTGGTTAGGCTAAACTCCTATTTATAGCTGAAGTTTTGGGCTTAAGATAGGGGCTTCGTAGAATTTGTTACCTTTCCTTCCTAATTTATTTTTTCTTCGTAGGCTTTAGAATGATTTTCCTTTTCTTCCTATTATTATTTTCCTTTTCTTTTTCTTATGATTATTTTCCTTTTCTTTCTATGATTATTTTTATTTTCTTCTTCTTATTATTATTTTTCTTTTCTTTTTTAGTTTTCTTATGGCTCAGAATATCGATGACTCATGATTGAATTAAAGCTGATTCATTCTTATTAATTAAGATATTGCTGAATTAAGATACATATACTAATATTTTTTATTTCTAATTTTATTATTACTATTCATTTTATTAATTTTATTATTACTATATTTTATTATGATTGCGATTATTATTATTTTATTACTATTTTTCCTAAGGTATTACATAAAATGACTGCTTTAGATGCATGCACAAATGTCCTAATAATGAAAACTTCCAAGAGTTTAGAAAAAATGGTAAAAAGCAATGTGAGAGCTTAAAGGCAATGTTTTCTCCAATTTGTACCAAAATCTTGGGGGATAGTGAAAAATGTTTCTATAAACTTGCAAAGATAAATGATAAGAAAAGTAAAGATTTGACCCAGGTTAGATATATCAAGGATGAAAATAATTTTTTTTTAGTAAGAAATACATAAATGAAAGAAAGGTGGATAAACTATTATAAGGACAAAAGTGAGATGAATTTGGAGGATGTTTATGATGATTTGAATTGAATGTTTGTGTGTGGAATCCAAGAGAATGAAGTTAAGGAGGCATTAAAGAAGAAGAAGAGTAGTGAAGCTTGGGGAATCGATGGTCTCCCTGTTGAAGTGTGGATAGGCAGGGAATGTGGCAATAAGTTGGTTGACAAATCTTTTCAATAAGATTCTCAATACTAATAAGGTGCCAGATATATAGAGGAAAAGTACGTTTGTGCCTATCTACAAAAATAAGGGAGATATCCATAATTGTTCTAACTATAGATTCATTAAATGTATGAGCCATACAATGAAGTTGTGAGAGGAATATTGAACATCGCTTGAGAATGAAATCCAAGGTATTTGTAAATCAATTCAGATTTATGTCAAGAAGATGTACCATGGAGAATGGAAAAGATATAGATAAAAGAATAGGGAAGTACATATGGTGTTTATAGTTCTTAAGAAGGTGTATGATATGATTCCAAGAAAGGTTTTATGGTGGGTTCTTAAGGGAAAAAAATCATCAAAGTATGTAGAGGAAATCAAGGATATCTGTGATGATGCTACTACATGTGTGAAAGGCTTGTAATAGAATATCGAGTTATTTTGCTATCACGATAGATGTGTACCAAGGCTCTACTTTGAGTCTTTATATTTTATCTTTAGTTGTGGATGAACTAACAGAAGACATCCAAGATGAAGTGCCATGATGTATGTTATTTGCAAATGATATTGTGCTTAATAATGAGACTAAGATTCGTGTTAACTAAAAATTAGAATTATGGAGAAACACATTGGATTCTAAAGGATTCACGCTAAGTCAAAGTAAGACTGAGCATACGAAGTGTGAATTTGCTCCGACTAGAAATGGAGATCAAGATTATGTGCATTTTCCTAGATAAGAAGTACCCAAAAAATATGCTTTTAGATATTTGAGATTTGTTTTACAAAAGGGTGGAAAGATTGCTGAGGATGTAAACCATAGAATCAAAGCATGTTAAATGAAATGACACAGTGCATCAAGGTTTGTGTGTAATCGCAAAATTCCTTTGAGGTTAAAAGGAAAGTTTTACAAAAAAATAATAAGGTCTACATTTTTGTTATACAAAGTTAAAAGTTGGTTTGCACAGAGACAACATGAGCATAAAATGAGAGTAGCTATTAATCTATCATAAAATGAATAAGATAAAAAATGAAGACATTTGATGAAAGATAGGAATATTACCGGTGGATGAAAAGATGAGAGAACATATATTGAAGCAGTTTGGGAACATAATGCGAAGACTCCTAGACGCTCCGATAATAACAGAAGCTTGTTACCAAGAGCTTGATCAAAGAGAGGAAGAGGTCAGCCAAAATTTACATGCGGAAAAGTAGTAAAATAATATTTAATTGACTGAAATATAAATTGATAGACATATCTTACGACAAATGGGAGGAAAACTATTTAATATTAGGAAGGGTTTGACTCGTTTTTCTTATTATTGTCCAAAGAATCCCTTTTTAATTCTCTTCCATGTATATCTTCTTTTATCTCTCTATTTTTGTATTTTTATTTTTTTTCTCTCTAACTTTCTTTTTATTCGAATCTCACCTATGACCAAGATTACGTCATCATTATGTGCCCAAAATACATGGGAGTATGTTATGAATGTTTTTGTGAGTACGGGCTTTAATCCACCTTAATCTAGTGCAGGCCTACGAAGCTTTTGCAATATCTTGCTTATGGGTTTGGCTAGATCCGGAAAACAATTTTTATGTTTGTCATATTTCGGTTAAATGAAGGGAATTATATCTCTGTAGGAATCAAAAAAGAAAAAGATAAAACTAATTTATTAAAATATTTTAGGTAATAAATCATGAGAAAATCAAATCTTATGTTACAGGAATCGGAATTTTTTCTCTAGCTCTCCCTTTGAAAATAGCGCTACATGTTTTTATGTTTTTATTTTTCTTCGATGTGAGACCTTATCCGCATCCGGCTGTGTCTGCAGGAAGTAGAATCATCATCCTGCAACATAAGAATTCCATTGCCCATAAATTATAATAGATATTGAACATAACACTTTTTATTTGTATTTTTATTAGCTTGTTCGGTTCCATATTATTCCTCACTTCAAGTTTTTTTTTTTTTTTAAAAAAAAAAAGTTGCAATAGAAAAGTTAAAAACCCAATATATATGATTTAATATGTTATCATTTATCTCCCCTTTATTTTTATTTTTATTTTTTGTTTTACTATTTGTGGGGGTAAAATTGATATATTAACCTAATGTTTAATGACTTAAGGTTGACTTAGATGAACAAATAAAATCAAGAAAATAAATGATAAAAAAATTAGTGAGAGTTAAATAATTTTGTAGCAAAAGTTTTAAACTTTTCCTAAAATTTAACTCTCTTGCACTTCGATGCCTACGTAGTTAATTGAAACATCATTAAAATCAGCAAAAAGAGAAGAAACCAATTCTACCATGAAGGGTTTTTTTTTTTTTTTTTAAGAAAAAAAGAAGAAGAAGAAGAAGGAAAAAACAGGGTTATAAAAACTGAAGCATCCTGTAGAGGGGGGTGTAAAGTTAAAGAACAGTTTTCGTAGTTATGAAACAAGGTGAGGTGAACTTGTCCTTTTCAAACATTGAAGGAATCTTTGTCAACGCCTCAATTTTCCATCCTCATTAGCATAGAGCACAGTCACTCATCTTTCTCTTCTTCTTTGCCTTTTTTCCTTCCTCTCTTAACTCTTTCCCTCAACTCAAGAGCCTCAGCTATGACTGCCAGAGAAATCCTTTGTAAGATGAAGGTATGGCCTAATTCCCTTTTGTTTTTTTTTTGGATAAATCATTAAATGTTGAATCATAAATCATAGATCTTCATTTGTTGCTATTAATCTTCATCAATCCATTCAATGGATTGCTTATATTGCTAAATTTAACAAACTCAATCAGTTTTTTTGTTTTTTTTTAATGGTTTTTGTGGTTGTCATTGTACTAATCCATGCACTGTGCCCTCTTCCATCATTGACTATGACTTGTAACAGTGTCTCCATTTACTTTTCTGCATTCTAAAGTTAGAAACTTTCAACTAGCTCGGATCTGTAGGGAAAATATATATCACTATAACTGATGATATATCTTTGTTTCTGTATGAGATATATACACCAGATTATGTCAAATTCTTCAATTGTTTTTAAAATCTCTCTATGTGGATTGTGAAGAGTGGAGACTTATTCCAGAACTAACCAGCTTAATCTATCTTCTTGACTTTTGACACCATTTTTACTGTTTACTCATCTTCTCGAGGTTTACTTTCTTTGCTCATTTATGTAGGCTTCTCTTATATAACAAAGTTACAAAACAAAGATGTTAGAGTGCTCTCTTTTGATTATCATCAAGATCTACCTGTTCTTTGACATTAATCTTTGGTTTTCTTCAAAGAATTTTGCAAAAGCTATTGTAAAAGATATTTAGAGTGCTTTCTAATAACTTCCAGGAAAATTGTAAAAGCTATAGCTATGTAATTGAAACAGATCGTTTCCCGGCAGTGTAAAGAACAATCATGTTAGAAATAATAAATTGGTTATTTAGTGGATAATGAATACAGTTAGTGATATAAGAAAATTCAGTATCCACTATATGAAATCTTCTTCTTCAACCAACCAATATCTGGAGCTGTGACCAAATTAGGTGGGATGTTTTTATTTATTTTTGAGTTCCTTGAAGAATTAACTAAGTCTTAGGAGTTACCAATCACTCAAAGATTCAGCTAATTCAACTTGGTTATATAAACTTCATATGTCTGTGGAGAAGACAATTATGACCTCCATTAGCTAATTAAAATTTGTAAACTTTACTGTCAAAAACATTTCTCCATACCTGAATCTCAGTTGCACCGAAGAACTCTTATTTTCTATCTCGCGGCGGGAAGAAAAGCTCGGTACTCACTTCTCTTCTTGATTGTATTGGATTCCTGGTGCAGTTGATAGGCTTGGTGTTTTTTTGTTTGTTTGTTTGTTTATCTTCTTGCCCTTATGATGATGTGATTGCCAAATTTTGCTACTCATTGTTGTGATGGTCGTTTGACATGAGCATGTTTCTTGCAGGAAAAAGTTGGGTTGGGTTCATCAGAAACTGATTCAGGGAAAGGAAAGAGCAAGATATCGAAGCACATAACTCATGGCTATCACTTGGTAAAGGGAAGATCATATCATGCCATGGAGGATTATGTTGTTGCTCAATTTAAGCAAGTTGATAACAATGAATTAGGTTTGTTTGCAATATTTGATGGCCACGCAGGTCACAATGTTCCTAATTACTTGCGGTCTCATTTGTTTGATAATATCTTAAAAGAGGTAAGTCATGGTCCTTTTCTTTTCTGGTTACTTAAATCTATGAGTTGCTTTATGTGAATCATGAACTATGGTGGGGTTTTGCAGATCCTCAAAATCAAATTGAAAAATTCTTGATGTTAATTCAAGTTAGATGAATATGATCATCATGTCTAATAAAATTTCAATCAATCATCATTTTTTTTTGTTCCATGTAGCCTGATTTCTGGAAAGAACCTGCAAAGGCTGTCAGGAGAGCATATAGTATAACTGATTCTAATATTTTAGACAAATCAGGTGAATTGGGTAGAGGGGGTTCAACTGCAGTTACAGCAATATTGATCAATTGTCAGAAATTAGTAGTAGCCAATATTGGGGATTCCAGGGCTGTCTTATGCAAGAATGGTGTGGCCAAACAACTATCAGTGGATCATGAGCCAACCACTGAACATGAGGATATAAAAAATAGAGGTGGTTTTGTATCAAACTTTCCAGGTATGAGATATCTATAATGGTATACAACTTTGCCTTGATCTTATTAAAATGTAACACTATGTTGTCCAGTTGTGGGGTTTGTAGCTCAGGAAGCTTATGGTTCTCAATACTTTTCTGATCTAGTTAAGTTGATTACTCTAAAAAAGTTCACTTAGAATTGGATAGACTTTGTTCTAGTGCTAAGGATACAGCTTTTGTCATCAATTCAGGGGATGTTCCACGGGTTGATGGACGGTTGGCAGTGTCAAGGGCATTTGGTGACAAAAGCTTGAAGAAGCACTTGAGTTCAGAGCCACATGTGAAAATGGTGATGATAAATGATGATGCAGAGTTTATTATATTAGCCAGTGATGGATTATGGAAGGTCAGTTTTTTGAAAAGAAGCATGATGCAAGAACCTTATGGATTTCTTTTTAATATAGAAGACTCATATTGGATGCACACATGCTTATTTATCTAGTGCTCAAATCTTTGTATTCAAATTATTCCAGGTAATGTCAAATCAAGAAGCAGTTGATTCTATCAAAGGTATAAAGAATGCTCGGTCTTCAGCAAAGCGCCTTACTGAAGAAGCACTTAATAGGGAAAGCAACGATGATATCTCCTGCATTGTTGTGAAATTTCAGTGATCACAAGATCCACATAATATATTTTGATCCACAAATTTGGAAGTGTAACATATACTTTAGTGTAATACTAAAGCTTGATAGCCATGGGGTGGTGTTATTATGCTGAAGCCCTTCATGCAAACCAACTGGGAGAACGCATTATTTGAAGTTACAATGTGGAAAAGATGTAGTTTCTGATTGTATAGACCAAACTACAGTCTAATCTGCGCGTATGCAAGGAAGTTTGGTCAATGTTAGTGATCTTTAAAGGTGGTGTGCAGGGAACTGAGTAAGGTTCCCACAGTTTCTTGTTATTGGGAAATCTTTTCAGATAAATGTTAACAAAACAAACTCATACAATATGGTAAGGCCCAAAGAAACAGAAGAAACATAGCTTAGAAGGTTAACAACATAAAACATAGATCTTCAGGGAAATAAACTAGTTTACATGACAAAATACACCACCTTAAAATGTTGGGATTTTTTATGTTATTTTCCCCCCCTTTCTGGTTTAGATGCTTATAATTAACATACAAAGTCTTTATTATATGCCTTGGCATGTAAGTAACCAGTGACAGAAGAGAGCGAGCCTGCTGAACACATTGGATTCATCTGATATGGAAGGACTCCTGCCATGTTCATCTGAATTCTCCCACAGTCATCAGCATTTCTACATTATTTTTCCGGCGCCGCTCATTATGTCTGGCTAAGCGTCTCCGGCAGCTTCTTTTAGCTTCATCAAACTCCGCCAGGTCATGGAACCTGCATGGAAGCAATCCTTTGAAATAGATAACATTTCTGCTCGTTTGGAAGCATAATACGGAAAGATAAGTGAAAAGGTCTAAGCAATGAAGTTCAATTTCTTAAATGAGTGTTTCTGATGTATTCATAAAAGATAAAACATTTTTTCTCAAGTGACACAACACCAATTCTTTTAGGCAGTGGTCAAGGCATAATCTCTTTGATATAAAAAATCTGTTCCTAGTTGGAAAGTTTACCTCGAAATTAGTACTATGCTTAGTTTCAAAACTAAAAATACATGATGGAAAAGCATGATCAACCCTACCATCTATAGTGAAAATGCTAAAGGCAATACAAATTCACACCAATAGAAAATGGTTTAGATGACTTAGGATTGAAGACCTGCTACATTGCTGGCAAAACCTTTGCCTCAGCCCTGCAACCACCACAACAGGTGCCTTGGAATGAAGCTCACACACCTTATGGCGGCGATGGTACTTCTTTGCAACACTTAAATCAGCACAACACTTCTCTGCCTTACAGGAAGGTGGAGAAACTCCTCCACCCTCACTTGACCCTCTTCTCCCACTCCAACCAGTACCTCTCTTCTTCTCATCTTCTGCAAGACAACCATCACCACCACCAGTACTTTCATCCTCCTCCTCTTCTTCATCTTCTACTTCTTCAACTGTGCTGTTCTTCCTCATCTTCTCAATTGACATTTGCTTCCTCTCTATTATCCTGGCCTCCATTATGAGTGCTGAATGAGGAGGTGGTGACAATGATGATGAAGAAGAAAATGCTGGAGCAAGTAAAAGGCTAGAGTCTTGTCTTTGGGGAGCAATGGGAGGGAAAGAGGTAGTTTATAGGGAGAAAAAGAGGTAGGAAAAGAAGGTGGTAGAGGTGTGGACCACAGGCTCCATTTTGTTAATTGTGTGCTTTTGATAGCATAGGGTGGGGAAGTAGTGCATGAAGAAGGGTTTTATCTGTAATGATAAGCATATAAAGTGAAGTTTAAATCTCAATTCTTGCAGTAAGTGGGAAGTGGGGATTGGTTTTGCATGAATAGTGTGTTCAAAGTTATAGTGCTGTCAGATAACTCCAGGTTCATTTGTGGCAAATGCTTAACTAATAATGCTCAAGGAACTACAAATTGAAGTGGATGATTTTTCCTTTTGTTTTCCTTTTTTCATGTTATTCATGTGATTTCTGATATGCTGATGAAGGACACATATCACATGCATAGCCAACCATGCTTTCAACCGTTGGATTTACAGAAAAATGAATAATTATGACTTCCTGCAAAATCTTTATGATTAAACAGAAGCAGAAAGAAAATAGCAGCAGGGCTAGTTTGGAGTTTGACATTGCAGGCTTGATATGGAGTGAAATTTTCCAATTGAATCATTGGAATTAGAAGTCATGGTACAACTTCAATCCATTGTAATTGCTTCACAACTATTCTAACTGTAAATTTACTATTCCTCTTATTTTCACTGCCATTCTGCCAATATGGCAGTTACTTAAACATTGGATTTAGTTTCAGTTACTTCAATGTTAAGGTTAAGCATTTAACTGAGATGCTAAGGGCCAGAGGTACGGGTGCACTGGATTTTAAATCTAAAGCCTGCAAAGTACTCATAGCACTGGAAGAGGGTGGGGAGTTGAGTGAGACATATCATATTTTCCATAGAAGCCTTAAAGTACTTGGGAGCAGCAACATGAAAATCCACCTCTTTAACTTAAATATGTTGTACCAATCTGTTCCCTTGTTCTTTTTTAATTTCCTCCTTTATTTTCAAAATTGAACCCTGCTAGTTTTCCACGTTGTCTTTATAGGATTGCTCTATTTCATATTTTGTACCAATAATTATATTATGTTTATGTAATTAAGTAGCTAAAATGTATAGTGCTTAGATATATAAAATTGTGAAAATTATACTCACACAAACTCTCTCTGGAATAAAATGATGTCATGAACTTGGGTGGATAGTTAGTAATCTTAACACATGCATGTTGCAATAGTACTACTATGGTCACAACAATCATGTGGTACTGACATGACCTAGCACGCTAGCACCATGGTTTCACAAGAATGCAAGATGCCGTTGTACTTGGTACTTGATGTGAGTTTTCACCATGGATGGTATGACAAAAAACAAATGGGCTCATCCCTGATCAATCTTAAAAGGTTGTGGATTTGACGTTCATATATCTCTTTGAAATTCAATTTGTTTTCATGTCACCTTCGGTGGAACAACTCAGGAGAGGTGCAGTCACGCCAAGTCAAGGATAGTTCAATTTAAGACATTTGAAAGTTTTAGAGGGGCGTTTGGTTGAGGAGAAACTTTTTGAATACTAGAGAAATATAATTACTAAGGTTGAAAAGTGAGTTTGGTAAGAAAATGTAAAAAAAGTTGTTAGCTTGGAAAAAAATTTACCGAGAAAATTTAGAAAATCTTATAAAGTCTATGTTGGTTTGAGTTAAAATATTGATGGGAAAATGAGTTACAATTACCAAAATAATCCTTATAATTTTTTTTTGGTCAAATTTGGTGCCACCATGGAGGGTCATTTTTGTCAATAGATTGGAGTTCAACTTTTCACTTTTCCATTCATCCCAAAATAAAATATCACATGCAAAGTGGTATTTTGAAATAGTGATTTTCATCAAATTTTTCACACAACTAACTTTTCCTATGCATCTTATTTTACTAGGGAAATTTTTGAAAAACTTATACCAAACATGATAATACTTGATACCCACTTACACTTCCCCATCTATTCCAAAATAAATCTCTTACCAAATACCTCCTAAAGAAGGTCTACTCGAAGGAGACCTATGCTTGAAAATTTCTCTATCGGTCATTGATTAATCAACGAATTTAATCGAATCAAACAATTCACAAAGACAGTAAAAAGCTCCCAACCAAATCTTTAACACAGTTGCATATTCAGGGGAAATATTTTCAGTACTACAGTAGTACTGAAGACTCGGTACAATATTTACTCAATTTAGAAAATATAATATATTTGTTTTACTATTTTATCCTCCTTGTATGATTATTTTCTCCAAAACCATCACCAGTTTCTACTTTTAGTAAAGTAGTAGATACTAGAGTAGCACCAAAGATGTGCTCATATTCAGGACTCGAATAGCTACATATCCAGGACTCGAATTTGTCAAAACCACTGATTGAAACAACCCTATACCAATTGATCCACGTGCTTGATATTACTTCAAGGAGACCTATTTACGCCTTGTGTCAAATTACCCATTAATAATCTTTATTTGAGTACTGTGTCTTACTTGGCACCTATAATAAGGATTTCAGATGCCCTTACTTTATGTTATGTCATTAAAACCCAATTTTTTGGTTATATTACAGGTATGCTCAATGCTCAAATCATACCTTCAAGTACCACAATGCAATTAGCCATGTTATTCGGTATTTGATATATGTATATGAAAGTGAAATTGGACGCGTCATATCTATTATGTAATAGCTGAAAACTTAAATGATACAAATCAATTGTCATTGGTATAAATGAAGTTTGGTCATAAATGTAGAATCATTCGTATTATACATCCACCTGAATTTTGTATTTCTTGCCTTCTCTTCTTTCCTTTGTAGCCATGAGAATTAGAATGTCACACCCTACACAGACTTCACCGAAAAATGGTACCTATCACTCTCATATTGAGTTGGATTTGGTCCCTTTGCTCTTCCTTTTATTCTTCTCTCTGTTACTTATTATATAGATAAGAGGCACAATTTTGTAGCATATATAATGTATTAAGTTACCTTTGTGTCTTCTTCACATACTTACTTGATTGCTTTGTCAACTTTATACGAGAATTTATGTCCGAAATGTAGATAATTGACTAGTTTTTCTTCGGATCATTCATGCCATGTTGAGTTTCAGCACCTGTTGACCCTCTTTCAATGTATATAAACACAAAGAACTGATTTGATTCTACAATTGAGAGATCCTAATAGACCAAAGTGTCCATATAATAACATTAGAACACAATTTGACAAAAAAAGCTATGTTTTTAGAGGTGAATTAGTTTCTCATATACTTCAAAAGATGATTCAATTGGCATTCATTTAGCTTCCTATCTCCAAAGGAAGTTTGTAATCTTCATAGATATACCCCCAACAACAAAATGGGGCAGAATGTTAAGTTGTTAACTTCCTTTTTCTTCATCCTTTTATCACTAATAATAGATTAAAGTCAAAACAGGAAAAAGCATTGGATTACACATACCCCTAATAATTGGTTTTCTATAATCCTATCAACTCCCAACACCATCATGCATTAATTCAAATTATAACTCTATATTATCATAGCCATCTCCAAGCTCCCCCCTCAAATCTTCAGCACTTCTATACTCCGCAGTGTCCACAACATTTGTATCAGCCTCAGCAGTGGTTGTCTCTGTCAGTGTCTGTGCAGTGTTCTTTGCTGCATCCCATGCAGTGTCCACAGTCTCCTTAGCAGTTTCTCCCATACTTTCCATTGCTTCAGTTGCTTTCACTGTGCCTTGTTTTGCTTCTTCAGTCACAAACCCTCTCATACCACTAGTATTATGCTCCCCATCAACACCCTGAAAATGATACAGAACATTGGCAATAATAACAATAATAATAAAAAACTAAAAAATTCAAAGTATAGATAACAATGTGCTCATGTGAATTTAATTATCTAGCAGTGAAAAGAAGAGTTGTATACTTGAGTATGCACAATGTTGTTGCTGCTGCTAATTACACCAGCTTTATAAGGAGTAGTTGATTGGTGGTGTTTAACCAATTCTTTGCACGACGACACAAAGAAGGGAAATCTCTTAGCCATTTTTATCTACCAATCTCTTATATTTTAATGTCTATGTGAATGGATCATGGTCTTGGTTTAGCTTATATAAGAAACATTAGAAACATGGGGAAGGTAGGAAGAGTTGAAACGGGTTGATATCAGTGTGTGACAAACGGTGGAACTAATGCATATGCTTTTGCATGAGTCATGAAAATTGGAGATTTGGCAACTTAACACGTTTAGCACCATGGCATAGTCAGGTTTTTGCATGACACTTGTAAAGAAAAGAACATAAGATAATATAATATATATTTTTTTGGCCGACACATTTTCCCAACCTAAGGGATTTGTGTGTAGAATCTGCCGCTTACAACAACTACAAGAGCTTTCTCAATTTTGCATAGGGTGTGCGTGGGGTTGTAAGGTTGGTATTTGAGATTGAGACTATGCATTATATGTAATTTGTTTTTTATTTTACCTTATTTTTTGTTTTTTGTTTTTTGTAATTTGTAATTATAGCTCAAATTAGGATTCGCTGCCTTTATATTCTGTCTATTCAGAATATTTTGGTCGTTTATATTTGAATAAAAAATATTAGAACTTCTTCAACTTTTGGGTTATTAATTTTGTTGAAAAGTAAGGTGATATTCATCTTTAAATTAAATTAAGAATGAAATTAATATTCTCGTTTTTTCTTATTTTTAATAATAAATTCATTTTGAAATAATATTTTCTTTGCTAATGCTTTGACCGTTTGGTACTCAGATTTTGATGTCTATAAACAAAAATCATTCTTAGAATGCTTTTTGAGTTTTAGGACTTTAAATCTTTTATACAACTTTTTTTTTTCTAGGGGTATGATTGGAACGAGGGTTGAGAAGGAAATGAAAAGGAGGGCAAAATTTTATTTTTAAATTAAGAGAATTATATAATATCTATAAAAATAAATAAATAAGGGATAATCAGAATATTTATCTGTAATTAGGGGTGTTAACGAGCCGAACCGAACCGAGCCGAGCTTTGGTCTTAACGGGCCGAGCATGTGTTCAAATGTGTCAGACTGGTCTTAACCTGATACCTGTTACGAATATAATATCAGCCTGTGGCCTGGCTCATTTACAAAAAATAAAAGTCTTGTTTAGCCTGTTTAAAAAAAATAAGACAACAAAAATTTATCAAAACAAAATATACAATCAACAACACTAGTAATTCCATAAATATTCATAAATTTAATGTATATCCAAATAGCATAATATAAAACAAAATCATTTAAAAAGTCTGTTTAATTAATAAAATTGGATGAAATGAATTGAGCAGAGAGAGAGCTATCACAAGTAGTATAAAAAATAAAAAAAAATAAAAAAAAATATATTAGGCAAGCCTGAGAGGCTCTAAGACCGAGCTTTTGAATTGGAGCCTGAGGCCTTTTTATTAAACGAGCTTTTATACAAGTCCAGGTCTGGGTCCAACAATCAATTTTAGACATGTAAGCTCAAACCTTCACGAGCCGAGCCAAAGGCCCCTGGCTCGTTTAACACCCCTTTCTGTAATGTAGTATTTTATATTAAAAAATGTTTACCTAAAATTAAAAATTTGTCCATTTTTCTTTTCCTTCAAAATCCTCGCAGGAAAGATTTTGAAAAGAAAAAGAAGGGAAGATAAAGTTTTATTTTTGAATAAAGAAAATTATAAAAATCAATAAAAATTGATTGGAAGTTTCACGAAAATCTATCATTTTATGCCTTCTATTATATAAATAATATAAAAATGAGAAATTATTTACTTAAAATATAAAATTTGTTCTGCTTTATCTTTTGTCCCAGAAGTCAGAACCTTCGATCCCAATTATACCCTTTAGAAAATGATAAAATACCCCGAGCTGGCACTGTCTACTTAAAAAGGGTCAAATTGCCTTGGCATGCATGGTAACAAAATTAAGCTCGGTCAACCTTATCTGACTTAGACTAACTCAATTTGGGCTAGCCCGCTAATGAGTCTGATCCAATAGCAAGTTGAGGCTCCGAGATAGGAGAGTCCATTCTTGTGGAGTCAAATTTTAGTGCACCCGGGTTCCCGTGGCGAATCCAGAAAATTAATGAAGGGCGGACACTTAATAAGTTAAAGTACATATATTTTAATAACAAAAATATATTACAATAAAAATAATTACAATATCATCTATTTAGGCCTTATTTTTTGGAATTCCATCATAATTACCTTATTATCAATGCTATCAAATACATCTTTTTCAATATATGGCACTAAACAATCATTCAACCATTCATCCCCCATCCGATTACGAAGTGCAGTCTTGGTGTATTTCATAGTTGAAAATGCTCTTTCCAAAGATGCAGTTGCTATAAGCAAAGTTAATGCTAACTTTATATGTAAATAAACCAAAGGATACGTAATATGTTTTTTCTTTTCAACCATCATCTTGGCAAGATAAGCTATTCCTTGCAAATTCAAAAAATCAGGATCACTTTGCATATCAACAATATATGTGTCGAGCTAATATTCAAGCATGACGAAATCATTTAAATCAAAATCTTAAGGATAAAAGCCAGCAAATTCACACAACTTATTCTTGTCAAATGCCGAGAAAGAGTTGCACGAATTTAAACGTGCCATGCATTCCAGCAAATTCGAACTAACTTCACTAAAATGATCATTTAACTCTTGAAGTTGAGTATCTATCACTGCATAAAATATGTCAACATTAAAGTGATGCAGATGAGTAATTGTTCCTTTACGTTTTGTTCTCCCTTGTAATGAAAGTACACTTTCCATATCAGAGATATCTATATCATGTTTTATACAAAATTCAGAAGTCTTCTGAAATGGATCATCCCACCCATTATCCCTCATCTTCTGTAATGACACCTTTGAAACTTTTACAAGAGTCATAGCCTTCACAATATCTTGATCTTTTCTTTGAAGTGCTTGTGACAACTCATTCGGTATTGCCAAGACCTTGATCATCAGGTTCAAAAGTAATACAAATTCAAAAGTTTGCATACGCATCATAAGGCTAGAGGCTTCAGACTTTTTTGCATGCATAAGGGTTGTATCGTGTTTTATAATTTCTAGCACATCAAGCACATGATCAAACAATGTACACAGACTTACCAATGATCGGTAATGTGAGCTCCAACGTGTGTTCCCTGGTCGTGACAAACTCATTTCTTGATTCAAGCCTCTCCCAGATTGAACATCATCGCTTGCAATACTTTTGACTATCTCATCAAATTGCTTTTCTCTCAAAATATCTGCTCTTTTGCTAGAAGCACCAACTGCATTACACAACAACTGTATAGAATTAAAGAAGTTAGTCAATGCGTAAACCTTTTTAGCATAAGCTACTAGAGCTAACTGAAGTTGATGTGCAAAGCAGTGAACATAGTACGCAAAATTATTTTCAACTAAAATCAAGCTTTTCAGACCACTGAATTGACCACTCATATTGCTTGCGCCATCATAACCTTGACCACGAATCTTTGTCAAGCTCAAGCCATTTTTGGCAAAAAAATAACTCAATCGTTTCTTTAAGTGAACTAGCTGTAGAATCTGAAATATAACACCTCGCATTTCTAAGTTTAAATTTTAATATATTAAATGAGTAATTAAGTGAAGAATTAGTGAAAATCCTGAAGATTAGGCCAAAATACAAAGAAAGGGCAAAACGGTAATTAGCCAACACGCAACCCTAGGAAGATAAAAATTGAGTATAAGGTCTCAGATGGTAAAAATAACCCTGGAAATGGATTCAGAACGAAAAATTGAGGACCTGTTTGGTGTGACGTATAAGGCATGATAGTATAAGCTTATACTATATGTTATGACATTTTCAGTTGTTTGGTGTGACCATCGTATAGTATAAGCTTATACAGCATAATCCCTTAATACATCAAAATGATGTATAACTTAATCCGGCCTATGGCTGAGGAATAAGGCCTGATAAGAGATTGATGTATTAACATCGTTGACCAATGTAATTCTCAAAAATTAATATATTATTTTAATATTAATCTATTAAAATAAAAATTTATTTTCAATATATTAATTTTTAAAATATTGAATATTTTTATTTTTATAAAAATTAATTTATATTTTGGACACACTGATCAATCAATTTTTATAAAAATTAATATCATATGACATTTTTTGAAGAATTATAAAAAAAAATTATTAAAGGATATTTTTATTAAAAATATTTATTTTTTACCATATATAGTATTATACAGTGCATTACCAAATACTAGATGATATTATCTTATACAATATATTATTTTATACAATACCGTGCCAAACGCAAGATAGTATTAAAATTCAATCAGGTCTTATACAATCAGGCCTTATACTATCAGGCCTAATCCTATACTATGCACCAAACATGCCCTGAGTGTTTAGGAAAGTTTAAGAAAAATCAGTGAATAATGTTTTTACCGGGTAAAAATATCGCGGTACGATTGCACCGTAAAACGTGCTGATTGAGTTTTGAGCTCTAAGTTTTAAATATGAGTTATAAATGGTCAATAGAACTAGAAAATATGATTTCTGATCAAATCTGATGGAAATAAGTTAGTTTGGGGAAGCGTGTCAACGGCCCGTGCAACAGCTTAAAATAGTGTTTTCTCCGAACGACAGGAAAACTCAGGATTCATCTGATCAAGTATAATTAAAGGATAATGGTTAATACTAAAAATTAGAGTTTCTAAATAGGTTGTGAATTTACGGACGTTTAGTGAAAGTTCGGACTAGTTTTAAATCGCGGGAGGTGGCGTAGGACCCACCCACTCAAGTCCACTTAAGCCACCTCACCTCCTTTCACTATTCACTATCTTCTCTCTCTTTCTCCCCTAATAAACCCGCGGACCAGCCCTCCCCCATGGCCACTTCCCTTTGATTTTTCTTTTCTTCACAAATCACTCATTTCTCCACTAAATCTTGCAAACTTTGTGTTGAAATTTGTTGCAAATGACCTTCTAAACACATTGGCACTAGTGGCAAGCCTTGAATCCATCTCTATTTTGCGAAATCTCCTCCCCAAGGCCGCGGTTCACTTGCTTAGATTTGTGATCTTGGAGCTTCTAGGTGCTGCAATGGTGGAGTATAGTTAGGAGGAGCCTTGTGCCTTGCATTTGGGTGAGTTTCCTTGTATTTTAAACGATTGAATGTGGTGATTGAATTATTGAACCCTAAAAGGGGATTTTGTGATTGATGTGTTTAGAGAGCTCAATTGGAAAAAGTTTGTACATGAATGTGTCTTAGAATAATGTGTATTAGCTATAAATGCAATGAAAATTTTAGGTGAAAAATATGATTTTTGTAACTTAGAAAATTTTGAGGTGTCATGACTTTGAACTTGGAAAATGTGTTAGGATTTTTGTGGTGAGTTGTTGGATGATTATATGTGGATATAATGGTATTGTGTGAAGTGTGGAAGGATTAAAGATTTAATAAAATCTCTTGGTATTACATAGGTAACAATTCGGCCATTTATGGAAGTTTAAGGAATTGAGGTTGTTTGCATTGTTTGGATGATGTTTCAAGTGTTAATGGTATTTAGATGGGTTGTGTGCTGGTTGGAAAATGGAAGAATCAATGAAAAATGAAAAATGGTGTTAAGGGTCATAAAGGATCCTAGAGTGAACTATTAAGTAAAACGACGCTTAAAAGACGTAAAATGGAAAAACGACACTTGGTATAGCCTTTTAGCAACCTAAGGATGTATAATAAAATGAGAAAGAAAATTTAGAAAAATAAATTGTCAAATAAGCCTAAGAAGGCCGAACCTACAAGGGGGTAGGGGGTGATTTTGACGTTTTTCGCATTTTGATAGAATTGCTGTGTACTGACGATTCGTACATGGTTATTGTAGGTTTCCATACGTCGATTTGAACCCCGAACCGTGAGTCGGTGGATTGCCCTTGGTCCTGGACCAAGTGGGATTGAGGTAAGTGGTTGAATCATGCTTGTATAGTTGTAAATTGCTTGTATTCGTATGAGTTTTGAGTAATTGGGAATGTCCTCTGTGTAGGCATTCTGTTGAGTAACAAGTTTGGAAAATAAGCTGCTGTGGAGCTAAGTGGAGGAACATATTGAGGTAACCTCTTGGTACTGGGGCTTGTTCCCCTTGTGTGTTCCACTATACCCGTTGAGAGTGATGGTAGGAAATATATATGAGTAGTGTAGAATAACATGAGCATGCATGTAATATTTATGAGGGTACTTATGTACCGAGTCTCTGGCCAGTAGACAGTGTAGCCTTCGGGCAGTTCGGACTTCCACTGGATAGGTCTCCGAGAGGGAGTTCCAGTTTACCAAGGGTCGCGGTGTGTGATCTGGATAGGAGCACACTAGGAAGTCTTGGGTGTATACGGATGGGAGGGGTACCTTGGTTGATGTTCTAGGAACACGCCTTGGATGAGACCCATAGGCTTATATGTCGAGGACGTTGCTTGGTATTGGTAGCTACCATTCCTGCTTCGTCGTATTTTGTATTCCTATATTCCCCAGTTTCTCTAAATCCCTTGCTTTATCCCATTTTGAAAAGTGGTTATTTTATATTATTTATATGTATCGATGTGAGCCATTGGACGGAGTTTTCTCCAGAACCTCCGGGTTACTGAGATATATTCGTATATCTCACCCCGTCTTGGGGGCTTTATTTCAGGAGGTAGCAGTGGTATGAGAGCGGCGGGCAAGAAGCCCGTAGGATGAGTCATTGGAGGACTTGCATTTTTTGTATTTTGATGGCCATTTGGCCTAGGCTAGACTTAGGGCATGAACATTCCATATGTATGTAGGAGGTGGTTCATAGTCATATTTGTTGATGTCATTTTGCCTAAGTCTAGTTAGTTGTATATGTCATTTAAAGTTCATGTTCAAGTTGTAATTTAAAGTTCATATTTCAAGTTGTAATTTAAAGTTTGAAGTTGTAAGTTGTAATATGTAAGTTAAATGTTGTAATTGTACAATGGATATATGATGTACTATGATGGAAGGGCTTTAGGCCTATTTTAGGTTTATGATTCATTGTATGTTGAGAATTTGCATATAAATGGACTTTGGTGATTGAAACAAGTTAAAGAATTATAAAGTGAGCCATATGGTATGAACTATGTAATAAATATAAACTGAGTTGGGTTGTAAGTGCCCCAAGGCATTGTTGATCCTTGTGTGTGCCACCCATTGGTTATTAGGTACATTTGAGATGCTAGAGAGCATTTGCAATTTGGGGATTTTAGGAAAAACAAAAGAAACTCTAGCAAATTTTCTGTAGAATTGGCAGAATTTAAGCGAACTTCGGGAGAGCATATCTCCCTCCACAGAGGTCCGATAGGGACGTGCCATATGCAATTTTGAAGCTTGAGATTCCCCCTACATTGTGTTAAAATATGAGGAATTTCTGGGTTACACCAGCTCTGTAGAAACCTGTGAACGCGGACTGTCCAGAATGCACCTGTGCAGGGGCTGTTTCTGGCAATTTTGGGGAATTTTATTCCCGCTTCGTTTCTCAGTCAAATTAAGAGTATGATATGTAAAATTGAAGCTTGAGGTGTCTAGTTTATGGTATAAAATTTTGAGAGCATTTTAGTGAGTGGTTTTTCGGCAGTAATTCGTGGAGTGAAGGATGTTTAGAGCCATTTTGGAGTTGGTTGACAGTTTTGCTTGTCAAACTTCAAACGGCGATATCCGGAGCAAACAAGATCGAAATGACTCGTGTGATGGCTCATTGGAAAGGTATTTAAGCAAGAAAAAAAATAGTTAAAGATGAAGGACTGGTTTTGTGCGGTGCGTCCGCAAAAAATAATAACCGAACTATGTTCGGATAGGTAGAAAACGTAAAATTGAGAAATTAGATAAGTGGGTCTATGGGAACCCCTTAGTGGCTTTTAATAAGTAAAATAAGTTAGAAGAGTAGTTTAAATAAGTATTCTGCAAATATTTTACAGTTACGGTCACAACTTTTAACTATTACGTTTTTTATTGTTTTAAATACTCGCGTAATAACGGAAAAAGTTTATTCGTGTTTTTATAAATGAATTGCTGTAATTGTAACTGCGCTTAATATCATAATTAATGTTAATAATTCCGGTGTACAACGGGCTGTTACATGAAACATGAACAAGACCAAGAAAATGCTCAATAATGTCATCGTTACAGTTCACATATCTTAAAACAATGGCCATATGTTCTTTAATTGATATATCACGAGCTTCATCAACTAGTATAGAGAAGAAATTATCCCCAATATCTGAAATAATAGCTCTGGTAACTAAACTAGCAGCAACATTAGTAATATCTTTCTGAATTGAGGGAGATATCATTTTGAGATTTTGGTTATTTCATGCAATTTCCTGCCCAAAAGGGTAATTGTGTGTTATAACTGTAAATTTGTTTGGGATGATGATAATGGAGGTGCATTGGTCTAGGTGATCTGTCTGCCCAAAGGGGACACATCTCTGAAGCCAGTGTATGCTCATTGAGCAAATTTTTTATGAGGTTGTAGATGAAGTTATTGGAGACTCATTGGGCTAGAGATCTATCTGCCCAAAGGGGATGGATTTTCGAACCCAATGTTG